ATTTATTATCGTTTCCATATTCCGGTCATCCGATGTAACTAGATGTTTGATTTGATTAAATTTCGAACCGTTAGACCGGACCAGAAAGGTTTCATCACGTCTTGATATAAATTTGCGTTACATGTCTGATCAGGATTTTCTTAACTAGAACGTAACCAAATTAACAACGAAAAATCCATCGACTTTGGTTTCTTCACGAATTTTGGCTAACTTATACAGGCAACCAATTAACGAATTGTAATCAGCTTATTATGTGGATAGCGATAATTGGAATATTCCATACAATAAAATGTATCCTTCGACTTTGGCGGGTCGTTGTGAACGTCGTGGGCTTCATCACTATGCTGGTATTCAAAAGAGAGCAAAAAATGAACTCATGACTTATGCCTTTGGTGCAGAGGAAGCTGCTAATAAAGAAAACTGCAACAAAATTCGTAGGCAAAACAATTTTTCCATAATTTTTTTGATTCTTTTCTTTATCCGCAATTGGTATTCTTTTTTATATTTTAGCATAAAAAAATATGAAATTCTTCCTCTTTCAAATGAAACGCTAAGTATACCATATATACTCATTGTAGTAATACATTTATGTGATCCAGAATAATTCTCTAGCAAAGATAATGATCTTCTGCTCGTTAAAAGGGACTTAAGGAAATCGTATATGTATCAGGAAAAAATCGGGAAATAAATAAAACCGAAGAATAATAAGTATAAAATGAATCTAAGAGAACACTCTCTTACAATCATTTTTATTCTGATTTACTGAACTCGAGAAGATGTTATCCAGTACAAGTCAAGTGTATAGACAATCTCCTCAATTTAGTCGTTATGGTCAAGAACAATTAAATCCAATTAAGTCTATTATTATATTAATAATAACATTTTTTCAGTTGAACATTAGCTAATTCATTAAAATCAAAGCTTTAATGAATTCAGGATAAAAATATATGGAGCTATTTCTATTTCTAACTTTTTGCATTTCATAATTTTTTTTTATTTTCAGGTATATGTTACTGTAAATAGAGATAGTGTCCGAACTGAGAAGCTATTAACAAATTCAACCTCTTTGAGTCATCACCACTTATTTTGGTGGATGCTCATGTAGGTGTACGGGCACCCCTTACTTCTCTTTTCGTAGCGAATTCAGTTCTTCAAACAGTTTCTGTTCACAGTTTTTTGCGTGGATTTCTGATCATGAAGTAGAACAGTTTCTGGTCCCGAAAACAAGGAAGTTTAACAATCACGTACAAACTCTTGTTTGATTTTCAGAACGCGGCAACCTGGGCTCATGGGACTCACGCAGCTCCTTAGTTTCGTTAGTGAGAGTGGGGAGAGGGGCCTCATCCACTTAACAAAGCTAGCAGGACTAATTCGATTTTCCTCCCTCCGTGAGCTTTGGTTCGACCGATACCGGCAGAGCGCGACCGTACGATCGAGCGGAAATTTTCAACTTCCTATCAACTTGAAAGATTAATATCGATTTTTTCATTCAAAATAGGCAGCAATTACTAAGCAATTACTAAAGGATTTTTTAAAAATTCGTTCAGCATAAGGAATTACCTTTAATCGTTATTTTGTGTTCGGACGATATTTACAGCAATTCAATAAATAAAATAGAGCAATTATGCAAAATTCTAAGGTGGAGAGATAACTTTATAGTCGTTGTTAATAAAATGACTATAACTCTGATAAGAATTCCAAGGGTTGACGATCAGAACAGGGATAGGACAGCCTCAGCAGTGAAAAATGAGTTCATTGAGGTTGACTGACTTCACGGATCTTGGAAGGATATAAACAATAAGCGTGCAATTTCAACTTATGGCAAAAAGAGATAAAGATGTAGTGTCACAACTCGTTCTCCTTTGTTAGTTGACGCTATAGTCTATCAATCCTTTTTTCAGTTATGACAGGTAATCTAGCCGCCATAGTTGGTAGATATTGATAATGCGGAAAATTGGAAGTTGAAAACACCATTTCTGAATAACACAGGGATATGTAATTTTTATTGAATATTTTCCTTCATACACATTGACCCATCAAAAGTTAATACTTCGAGACACTCATATGCAAAGTACTGCCCCCCCCCCCCCCCCCCCCCCCCCCAAGCCATAAGCCCTGCCCATGGCTTAGTTTATAATTACAACATGTGTAATTATACATCTGGAGTAAATTTAATGTACTAAAGACATCAGACATCATCATGTAAACAATTTTGAAATCACTGATTGGTCGGGACAATATTGCGGGAGTGGGGGTAGGAGTGGGTAGGAGTGGGGGTAGGGTTCAATGGGGTGGGGGGATATGAGAAGTGGGGAGGATGGTATAAAGCGACAGTTCTCAGCATCAGAGGTCATTCGACAGTTTCCTCTAGCACCAACAACATGGAATTTTTCGGAAAGCTGATGCGCCTCCTTGGTGTTGGCAAGCCTGAATGTAATCCAGTTGTAAGTCTACCAGTGGAAATAACTGAGAATATTTTTAGAATGTTAGATCCCCACTCACTCATAAATGCGGCCCAAGTATCCCGAAAATGGCGTGATGTATGTCGCGGTGATCCTCAGTTGAGAGCCACTGCCAGGCGTCACATCAGGAGGGAGAAAAGGCTTACTTACGGCCTAAGCGTTAAGTCTAGAGCTGGGTCGCTCAAGAAGACTCCGCTGGTTACGTCTGTATTTGTGGTGCCTAATATGGGTGGTGCCCCAGTTATTTTTACTTTCGGCCCTTCTGGCATTTGTGCAGGGCAACCAAAGACCAAAAGCGCTAAACGACGCGTCCGTCCTTCGTCAAGAACAGGGATGGTAAAGAGTATGCTTAAGTTTAGGTAATTATAAAGACTATAAGATAGTAAGTTAAGAATTGCGGGCCCGTAATCTAAGTAAGGAGCACTGACAATTGGAATAGACTTAGATATAAATTTTGTAGATTAAATAATAATAAATGGATTTAAAAAAAACGGAACAAGTTTTCAATGCTTCATTTAGCATACTAGCAATGACCAATGCTTACATTTAATGGAGGTACCCACTATAGTTTAGTACAATACCAGTGCAGTTGAGAATCGATAACCGCTCAAAAAATCCCCCGAGAAGAAAATAATATGCAGCAATTTAATTGACTAAATGCCGATGCACAGTTGTTTCTACCTATTGAAAGGTAGAAATCGATCAAGACTATGTCAAGCAGAGACGATTAATAAAAATGTTCTCATTTTTTTAATTCCAGAATGTAGATAGAATTTTAACAGTAATCAATTGCTGAAAAATAAAAGAGTTACGTTACTTTCCGCCATTTTAATTTTAAATAAGGTCAACTGGATGGGAGAAATCATGGGGTGAAGGGGTTTTAGCTGGAAAAGAACATCCCTATCAAGGATGCATATTTCATAACTGTACTTTCGCTACCAGGGTATCATCCTAACGTGGATAAATATGTTCGAGAGCATATGCTGACAATCACAGAAAAAAAATACCTAGCATTTCAATTTCAGTTAGTCAGAACACTAATCGTTTTTTAGATAATACTATGAAATCCTACTGAACTCGGCTATCATTTTAACAAATGCATAGATTCTCTGTAGAAAGACTCGCTTAGGAGCATGGTGGCCACAGTGGCCCCACTGGAAGGGGCTCCCTTGTCCTCATGGACAAGGAGGGGTGCCTAAAGTTGTCCAGAGTGAGAGCCTTTCTCCCGGGAAAGCCAGTAAATCCGGCCGGCGCCTTGGATAGAATGAAAAGCAGAACCTTGTCACTGCAAAGGTGTCACTATAAGGCCTTGTCACTGCAAAGTCGATGGTCCAGGACTGGCGGGAGGGGAAAGGGGGAACCAACCTCGTAATAGAGATGGGTTCCAGATTTCTAGGAGGGCTGCAAGAGACGGATTACTTATCGAAATTTCGACCAGTCCAAACGGCGCGGTCAACATCATTAGACAACTAGTCAATTTATTTGACACCTACGAATATGGAGCCTAATTCAATCACCACAATCGATCACCTCATAGGTAAATTTATGACAGATTTCTGGAAAACAATTAACAAGCTAGGCGGAAATACTCGCTTTGCTGGCAAGAAAATTATCAAGGAAATACCAATGTCAATTGCGTGAATAATCTGCTTAATATGTTCTGAAGCTCATGTGCTAGTCGAGGATTTACTTTTCCGATTCAACGTCAATTAATGTAATTGAACCATGACACCTAACTCTAAATTAAGAAATGTAAAGTCCATAATTAAATTCAAAGTGTCAATTTGACTAGAGATTATTTTGACTGGATCTTACTTAGTTGTTGATACAGCAACTACCATACAAAATTGTCAAAAACGTATCAGTTGAAAACCCTCTTGGTTATACCACCTGACGTCGAATTGTGCAATTCTGTAGTACTTGTGGTCAGTCAAGAAATTACTTTTGACAACTATGAGCAGCAAACTTTCATCATATAGCAATTACGTACTTATGAGAAGTCAAACATTATGACGAATAATTTTATCCCCAATTTTATAAGAACTTTTTCATCACGATGTGCTGAAATAGTAGTTTATGCTACGAGGGCTGAAAAGTGTTTTGGCATCGTATTTCATCAAAAGCAGCGTCGCAGGCACTTTCCGCACTTGTTACGAAATATACAATGTCAGACTGTGTGGCCCATGTTATGTTATGTTCCGGCGGGAGTAAAAACCGCGATTCTAACCTCGCTTTTTATCCTTTGGGACTTAAAGTAGTATATGCACCACGGTCAAAAAGTGTTTTCTCCTGGGGGTCCATAATATACTATTATCTTACAAAGCCCGATTAACTAAGTATTTCTGTTGCCCAGAAGAGGTAAGTAAAAAAGGAAGGCAATAAGCGGGCACGTATCTCCCTAAGGTAATAAAGGCGGGAGGTTGGGGGATACCAATTGACCAAAACGCAGTTTATGTCAGTCGGTCCGCCCTAACCTGAATAAGTATTTAACTCGTAGATAATATAACAGCAACAGCAGTAGTTTATTTATCAACTCCTATTAATTATTAATCCTCAAAGTATTACAGATGAATACATGCAGCTCTCTTGGTACAAGTTTTTGTTTACACTCGCCTCGTCTTCCCGAGTGCTGTCGTCCGGCTGCTTCAGTTCAGTTGGTGGTAGTGCTGAATCGGTATGTGCAGATTCCTTCGTTACAAATTTAGCATTGGACGCAGCAGCTACAGAAATGGTGCAAGCGATGCCATCTGTTAAAAACCTAATAAGCGGTCGAGTGTCCGCAGAGCAGGCGCAAGAAAGTCTCTTCTCCTTTTTCCAGTGCATACTAAGTGTTGATCCCAGATGGACACCATTTATCAGAGTTAGCGCAGTAGCGTGATACTTACCATTTATTCCCGTTTTCTTACAGTATCAAACTCAACAATTAAATACAGAATAATAAGATAATTTTTGAAAATGAATCTGTTGCTTCAAATTATTTTGCTTTAATATACACTTGACTCCTTGGGTGATTCCTCAGATGGTTTACTATGGGGCGCTGACTATCGGCGCGTGTGTGTAGTTCGATAAAAGTGACGCGCGAAAGCAAATTCATATATATGAAGTTTGCTGTATCATAAATGCCAGTTCACCAGTCATTATTTGCAGGAATAAGGTCGACAAAGAGAGGTGTTAATAATGTCGCTTCTCGCTCATTGTTTCGCGCGACTGACCCAAACGCAACAAAAAGATGAGGTAAATAATCCTTTATTATTTATTACTATTACCGTTAGAGAAACAAGTTCTTATCCAATAATGAGAATGCGAAAAATTCGAAGAGTGACTCCCTTTTCGATATAGTAATTAAACTTTTTCAGTAATTTCAATTTGAATTGTCAGACATTTTCATCCTTTTATTTCTAGCTGAGAGGATATAAAGTCACCGATGTCAATCGCCGTAGAAAATTTGGAATTGCTAGTCGAAGTTTGCAAGAATTAAAACGGAAAGCCTGTGTTAAGTTCAACGTAAGTATTCAATTCAAATATATTATCTAATAAGTCACTGACCATAGTGTAAGTTAATTACATCCCTCTCTAATTCATCCTTTTTAGCTGCTATAAGTAATACAAGTGCAAAAAGTAAAAAGTTTCGCACACTTCACGCGCAAAGCCCTCCCTTTTTTTTCCCTCGTATCGTAATGCACTATTTTGGCCGCCCTACTTTGGCTGTAATCAGGGACGAATATGAGAATTTAGTTGCAGCGTGACCTTCGAAGGAGATGCAACTCGCGGTGTGCTCTATCGAACGCAGGCCCGGGGCCATTCTCCCCTCAGTGTCACGGTCTCGCAATTTCCCTCGCTCGATTCTATGAGTCAAGGCTTAGCCTTCAAATTTCTTCATCATCGCCTTTATATCTTCATGTATTGAATTCCGATGGCATGGAAAATTGTAAATTTATATCGGATTTTCTGTTTAAGACTCGGAGGCGTTATTGTGGTTATTTACATTCCGTGGTTATTTCAATTGTTGTTTTTTTCTCATAATCGTTCACAGTTTTTAATGATGCAGAGATAAGATATAACTACATATTCAGAAATGAAAAAATATTCTTTTCAAATTATAGAACACATTGTTTTTATAACCGCCAAGTCGTGTACATGTATAAATACTCTGATGAATTTTTCCCGCATATTGCCTGCAAAAATTTTTTTCCATCACAAAAACAACGGGACGTTTGTCGTTTCCGATTTGTTTTTCCGAGCCAAGACTTAGACGCAAAATTACGTTATTATATAAAGATATATATTCAATTTAGGTTAATTTATTTATTTGTCAATTTTTTTCATGAATATGAATAGGTAAATATAGGGTTATACCATAGGTATCCAAAATCATGCGAGTCTAACCTCGCTCGCTACAATCGCAGATTCTGGGCCTAATAACAAAAAACTATACGAAGCTCGTGCGTTACGGTTTGGTTTTTGACCGGTAGGATTGTAAAAGTCGTCTTTGACTCGTTTTATAAATGTCTCACGAACCAAAAAACCTATCCCGCACTTGTTCCATAATATATTAAAATTACACAGGGGGTATAAACGTAGGAATTTACGAGGATGCAAACGTGGCTGATGCATTGGCCAGCATCGTTCACCGATACTCGACCAATATGTTGGCCCACATCGATCCAACAAGGTTCGCTTGAGCGATGTTGGTTCAACGGTAAAGCCCCGATCTGTTGAATGAATATTCGTTGTTCGATCAGTGGCCATTCATGGACCGTACGCAGCTTCCCCAATATCCGTCACTTAAGGTTGTCGTTGATGACCTCAATCATTGAATATGACATTCTGGTTTACATTAAACAATGAAATTTGTTGAAGTTTCATTAAAATCGTCATTCATTGAGACCAGGTGAATAATAATTGAAACAGCTTGGAAAAGGAGGTGGACATAGGTATTGGGTTAGTGGTAAGGGCGTAGGACTAGTTTGCGAAAGATCGTAGGTTCGGGTCTCGTCGGATCCAAAATGTGAGTTCGTCAACTAGAGTTTTTCAGGATCGGTATCGTTGCCGGTTGTGGTTAGGATAACTCTTAAATCCTAAAAGTGAGGAACTTTTCTTTTTCACTTTTTGTTAATCAATTTAATGACTGCCTCGGTAGCCAATCATATGTCAAACATTTACCATCTACTCTGTTGTTCTTTTTTATTGCGAACTTCTTTCAATCTCCGTGAAAAGATTGATAGTACCGTAAATTTCAATAAAATACAAATGTTATTAATATTTTTGGATAAAAATAATGAGATTCTGCTGTCAATCGGTTGCCATCATTGGGCCAATTAAGGTACCGATAATCGGGTCGGAATTATCATCCACGCCTCGACTGGACATTGAACCAGTCTCTTTTCCAAGCTTCGGAAATGTTGGTGTCAAAGAATCTTACAGAAAAATCTTGGAAAATTTTACGGAAAATACCATCAAAATGAGGTCTGTAGTTGAATTAACGAGTCAGACTTTCTTGCGTTAGTCAGGAGGGAATTCCAGCCGTGATATTGATGGGCCTCCTCGATAGTCTTATTAATATTATTTTATTATTATTTTATTTTTTTCACTTAATTTGGCATAAGAATTTTTATTAGAATACGTGATCGTGGTACATGAAATAATGGATGATTTTATTAAGTTAATCAGTTATGGTGTTGACTAATTTGAAACTCAATAAAAAATGTAGTGTTGTCTTTATTATGAAAGTAGAAACACAAAAATAAAGTTTGTCCGAGTCGAAATATCTCCCAACACGTAGGAGTAATTCCTCATTGATCAATTCGAACCGCCAAATTCCAATTTCAGGGACGGAGTGCGCAGAAAGTCTCGTAGAAAAAATTAATTTATAATAGGGAATAGTTGATTTCTTGTTCATTTGGAAAAATATACTATTAAAGTTGTTTGTTTCTATTCAACTTTCTAATATTTTATGGATTTTTTTTTCAGTAGGGGGCTTCAGCACCTGGATCTCGTTCTCCTCTGCCCCACCTTGTTCATTGCACAGGCATTTATATTTATATTTATTTTTGTTTATTTATTTAGCATGTGCTAGCCCGGCCCGGCAATGCCGAGTTGTGATTTCTGAGTTTGCGACACACCATCGAATGTAGTTTCCTGTTAGATGAGAACTCTCTAATGGCGGCATTGGTCAAGTCAAAATATGATTCGTACGGAACGTTCACTTTGTAATACATGTAGACAACTTTAGGATAATAGATTTTTTTGTAGAAGAATAATTGAAACAGAGTATAGTATTAAAATAGAAAAAGGAGGGGACTTACTATTCTCTCATACACCGCACATAGATAACTAGCAAATAAAATAAAAATTAGTTGGTTTTCAAATTAGAAAAAAATATTTTTCAGATTTTTTAAGTGCATTATCACTGACGGTATAATGGTGCCTTGCGTCCGAAAAAAGCCCCGAGAAACTGAATCAACGATCAATTATCAAGGTATCGTTAGGAGGAAATCCCGAAGTCTCCGACGATAATGGAATACCGGCTAGTAGATATGAATATAAAAGAGCAATTACTCATTATGAGTAATTATTAACCCTTAATCAGAGAGGCAAAAAATGTTATAATATATTTTTTTGAATTGTTGAAAACTTGATATAGCCAAATAACAATGTTTAGAATGTGTAGTGTCGAAAGGCTGTGCATTTATTGTCTTCCCTTCTGCAGGATGGTCGATGCATTTGCCGAAGTAACCTTCAATTTCCAACTGTCCCTCCATTCCAAATATTATTCTATTCATAATAAAAAAGGCTTTCCCAAACTTTCTAGATTTTTTTCTTTTATGGTCATTCGTATTTTTTGCAAGTACTTGTCCATCGTGCAAAAAAAAGATAAAAGATAATTGAGTGTAAATTTTAATGATTTCTCAATTGTTTTTCAAATATTATGATTGATTAATATTGACATTCACCTCCATCTTCCTCTCACTTCGTTCGAGATTATATTCAACGATACCCTGTAGCATAACATATTACTTTATTGTAGTAATTGATTAATTTCTTTCTATGTTTAGATTACCAATGACCTCAGCGAAATCAATATGTTTTTATTGGATGGTTCATTAGTGGATGAAGGCTATTTTTATACTTTGGAACCCCAGACAACTATGATTATTCAAAAACCGGGCGAGAGAGTTCTGTCAGGTAAACAATTTTCTGCGAAAGAAATAGAAAGTTATTCTTTGAAGAGCCAGAAGTTGGCAATATTTATGCCGGATAGAATTGGACTACTAGTGTTTATAAAATGCCGCAATTTATCCAATGTGCATGCAAGCGTTACTGTAATCGGATATTATAATAACCACTCTATTCTTCTCTCGGCCTTGCTAAAATCCAACCCCTTTCCTCAGACGCAGATTTGCTCTATGAAACCCTAAGGCGAGTAAACATCGATTATCTTACGGCGGGTGATCAGGCTACCAAGTTTCTAAGCGAGAATCTAAAGAGAAAGGTTGCAGTTTTGCACAGTTTATTGAATGTAGATGACTCGAGAACTGTCTGCAGTAAAAGGGAAGAACATCCGGAATGGTTCATGGGACTGGAAACAAATATTACGACTAAGGTAATAATCTAAAATTATCTCATTTTAAATTATCGAAGGGAAAAATTCGCATTTTATTATAATGATTTGACTTCGTATGAAGTCCTCGAATTCTAAAAGAGATCTTGAATTGCAATTTTTCGTAGTTGGCATTCTAGCATTGTTAGGAAAAATATTTGGGCCATTAATAGTCTAATGTATCTGGTGAAAGCATTGCAACCTTTAATTGAATAATCTGCCGATGATAAACTACCACTCGATTTTATAAATGCCCTGAACAACATAAAATATAATCTTTTATTACTATCGCATCAATTAATTTCAACATCCTGACAAATAATTGAAGGGTTTAGTAGATATGTGCTACGTTTGTACGAGACATCAAAAGATTATCATATGAACGCTCATAACAGCGCGGAATAGATAGATTGATAATAAATTTTATTGGTCAGAATTTTGAACAAAAAACATAATAAGAAAATATAACAATACATAAAATGTAATAAAATAGAACAAAATAATGGGATCGGATAATTAGAGAAAAGAACAATTAGGTAAAGAAAAATTATAAAAAGAACCATCAACAATATCACTATGACGCTATCGTTCTCGCGGTTTCTCTCTGCAGAAGCCAACAACATAGGTTGAATTTGAACGCCGCAGGAGAGGATTAGTCTCTGATGCATGCTGAGATGCCATTCCAGATTAAAGGATTAGCCACCGTCAATGCGACCTTGTAACACTGCGATGGTCAGAGATGGTTAGTCATCCTAGGTCATGCCGAGGACCAGAGATCAAGGCCCCGTCGGTAGGTCACTAACAAATCTTACAGCACGGTTGATCATACGCTAGAGCTGCCCATCACGGACAGAGCCAACCCCCAAGGACTGTCAAGAAGTAGAAGATGTCAGGGAAGATGAGGACCTTGATAAGCATAATGTGTAGAGGCGTGTCCGTATACCTGCAAAGACTGTAAAGTTGGTACAGCGCACAGTCGATACTAGACCTTATCTGCTGCACATGGGAACTGACAGTAAGCTTACCGTCAATAAAAACCTTCGAATTCCTCACGCTACTCAATGATTGAGCCGTCAGCACCAAGTAGAGACAGGGCGGACAAGTCAATCGCATTGATGAGGCACTTGGCCCCAAGAGAAATAGCCTTGGTCTTGCCAACGTTTAGCTAAGGTCTGTTAGCGGCAGTCTAACCCCGGAAAGGGCTAATGCTCTTATTCAGGCGGGAGATATCGAAATGCAACTCAGATGGCTAGTAGCTCATGTAGATTTGTCGATCATCGGCCTGCTCCAGGAATCACATCACCGATATCATTGATGAACAGGAATATGAGCAGGGATCCAAAGATGGAGCCTTGTGAGACATTAGCGTTGGTTGGAAGGAAGCCTGACTGTTTAAATTCGCTCCTCGCAGCCTGCGATCGATTAGTTAGATATAAAGCAAACCAAGCCGTCTCATATGTGGAGAGAGAGAGAGAGACCCAAGGAAGCTAGCTTGTACGCAGCTAGCTTGGAGATCAAATTGGGAAAGGAGACGGTATCGAAGGACTTGGAGAAACCGAGACAGCTGCTTAGAAGCCAACCGGTCAATGACTTTCCCACGGAAAGAAAGGATCGTAATCGGCCTGTAGTCCGATGGAGTTTTAGGGCGACTGACTTTGGGCACTGGGATAATGGTATCACGTTTCCGACTAGCAGGAAAAACCGTGCAGGAACCGTAAGATCATGACCCGAGAGATGTTACTCCATTTGACAGAGATGTGGCACGCTATACAAATTTTCCGTCTACTATGTGGGGAAAAAAGTGATTGCGTATGGAGGACTGCGGTGCTCGATATATACAAGAAAAGTTAAATAAAGAAATGGCTAAAAGCCGGATAGCTCAGTTGGGAGATCACCTGTTGCATAATCAGGCGATCCCGGGTTCAAATTCCGGTCTCGATGATCCATTTTTTCAGTAATTTGTCTTGTAAAAGTTATATCAAGAATTATCCTGTTCCCCTCCCTACCTAATCTAAATCCTATCCAACGACTCCTTTGACGTCACAAAGATTTGGAACGCTGTACAAATTTCCCGTATACTATGTAGAGATGTTGTTGAGTTAAATTGAGCTCCTGGTGAGAAACTAACATCAGGGGGCTGAGCCATTGTATCAGTCCTATCCTGAGGAGTTACCGCTGAGACAGCAGCAAAGTGCACATTGAAGACATCTGGCGGAATGGCAAGACTATAAGAGGAGCCAGGGGTGAGAGTCAAGCGCCGCAGCTCTTTCCAGAGCGACGATTCCGATCGTTCAGACAGCCGGGAACGGGCATTAGATGTGCATAGCAGTGGTCGGACAAACCGAGTTCCTGAGTTAACCAGGCAATAATCTTAATGGCATTTACTCTCACTTGGCGAAACGAAGTGAGGGTGTCGTCCTACTAGGAGAAAGCTTAAGAGAATGTTGTTGCAAAGCAGTGGTTGAGTCCAGGGATGAAAGTCCTCTGGAACTTACTCCGGAAGTTCTCGAGTGCTTGCGGAGTCGCTAGACCAGCCAATTTGGAGCAAACAGAAGTTGATCGCCAGCCGACATAGGAGCTACAGAGGTCAGGCAGTGAGATAGCTGGTTACATTCATCATTAAGGCAGAGGCCCAATCAGGTCGATGAGGTGAGAATCGTATGGTTGCGCCATGTTCAACCAGTTTCAGGGAAAGGTCACTCATCAGACATCGTATCAAGCGGGCATTAGCACTATCCGACAACTGGTCAGCGTTGAAATCAGCGTTGAAATCTCCCATGATGATTTTGTGGGAGTAGCCATCATGTGAGCTCATCCAGACAGAATAGGTTGATGTGACACTGACCTTGAAAGACACACATCTTGGGAGACTTTAGGACCATTTGGGGCGGAGAGACAGGTAGATAACCAACGGTAGTAGAGTAGAAGGAAGGCAGAAGAAAGGAATAAAAGTGGGAGAAATGCCGCATAGAAAACCTAACAAACGATCGAACACACAACACGGTATGAACGACACACAATGGGTGGATGAAAGGCTAAGTGAGATACTAAGGACTAAATGTTCACTATGTTGGATTCATCGACGGATTTGCTGTGTCTAATAGTGGCAATTGGGGCGATGTAAACACAGTTGCCTCGTTACTGAGCAGGACGTATTCGAAGAAATCGAGGAGGAATTCGTCCAGATTCTGTAAGGCCCAAGGCCAAAGTTTTTTTTGTCGCGAAGCCACAGTTATATTAACATTTATTTTGCTATCGGTTCATTCTGAGCAGCTGAACACATTGTTTTAATTTCGGCTGAGCGACGGAATTTCATACCGATGGCATCGATAACGTCGATGATTAGCGGTATTAACCTCACTAGACCTCTGTGAATGTATCTCTTGTCCAGGCGTTTAATCAAGTGTTCTAATTATTAATTCCTTCCAACGTATACCGAATCCTACATTTTTAAAATTATTACAACCCTTCTTCTGTCCTCCATACGGATGCTAATCGGCCCTATCCTCACCCTATGCATGCGACTGTGGATCCTACACTGTACCACATTTGCATTCTTACAGAACATGCAAATGAACATGGGAAACCACAGAAAAACCATGTCGATACGGGTGTTTATTTGCTCTATTAGCAATCTCCTGGTCATCGGTTTCTGTTCAAAAATTCGATTCAACCGGGAATCGAACTTACAACCTTCAGAACACTAAGCTCGCACCTAGCGACTCTCTCAAAACTCCCCAACTTCTATATGAAACGTTTTTTCGTTTAACCTCTTTTCAGAAGTGACTTAGGTGGGATATTTTAACAGTACCATCCTGTATAATCTTGCCATATATGTAAATTACAAGTATTATATTTAATGCAATATATGATTGTATATTCAATTCAAGACGTTTATTCCAATATTGGTTTTCAGGAATCATACATGCATCGCAGATGTCAAGATCGAATACGCGGATACCTTTATAAAACAATTGAGCAAATAAAGGGATCAGAGACGTGGTCGACAAACCGTCCTGCACGGCTAAATCTTCACCGAGTGATCGAGTTCTTCAAGTTGCAACTAAAAGAGGATCACTATTTAGGGTATTATTTCGACAGAAGTCGTGCCAAAGAGGAGTCAAACAATGTGTTTGATAAAGTGGATGGAGATGACTACATCTGTTATGATCATTGTCCCTGCAGATCAATGTTACTGGAAAATGAGGATAGCGATAATGATAAAAGTGATATAAATATTCATGGTGATGATGAAATTGATGCCAAAAAATACTCCTCTAGTAATGTTTCACCAACCAAGAAAGCACGTGTTAGTAAAAAAGAAAGTTGTTCTTATGCAGTATATCCGAGAGGAAGAAGTGAGCAGTTTGCTTTATGTGATTCTAAGGGAGAATTCCGGTGCGAGGGAATATGGAGTGCCAACGGTTGCAGCTATGGTGATACACATAGGATCAACCCTTATAGATCCCGCGAAGAACTTATTCTATTTTCTACTTGGAATTTGGATCACAAGTAAGCCATTGAATTTTTGTTCGCAATGTTCAATAAGTATTTTTACAAAATGACATTTATATGAGTTATTCTTCATGTCAACTCATGGGAATAGCAAGATTGAGACCTCGGATTTGGCCGACGATGATCTTAAATGAAAAAATTGTGGGGAGGAAAGTCGTCTGTTGTTTTAAAGAATACTTGTGAAAAAATACGGATTTTGCAATTAAATGTTCTTTACATCTCAAGACAGGGAAAAGAAAAAGTCTCAGGAGGGCTACTCATTTATTTGATTTGGGTCAACCATTAGTTCTTGTGGAGGCAAAACGTTTTTGATTGATTGGGAAGATTAGCACCGCCATTTTGTTGACAAGGTCTGAATCTTAGTCTCCTCCCTGATCTCCGGTTACACGGAGTGCAAGATTGTTGACACGTGCTTGCAGCAGAACATTTGTTGATCATGGATAATTTATGGGAGTAGAATTGAATATTTGCTCAATAAATATTCCTGCAGGAATTAATGTATATAATATTAATTTGTCAATTTGGTATTTATTTGCTCCCAATATTCTAGGTTACATTCGTCTGTGCTTATCACGAAATAATCATTAGCATAATCGTAATCATCGATTCGTAATATCGATGTCACGTATTTAACGCCTTCCGAAGAATAATCCAATCATTTACGATAGATTTGTCACGTTGTTGACTCACCGCAATGGACAATTTTCCAGTTGATTAGCCAGCCCGTTGAGCAAATGCATGTTATACTTATTATAGATAATAAAGTTTAATTTATCATAAGTTCGTATTATAATCGTGAGACTTAACATAAGCGATCTTGCACTGAACTCTGCTTCAGGAACCGCAACAACTAATTTTGTACCTGACCAGGTAGATTCGCCAGGTGATAGAAATTATTATCACGCGACTTTAAATTTTTCAATAATTTCGATCATAATTCTAAATAGATTCAACATTATTTTCAATACATTTTACATAATGCCTATGATATGAGAAATGATGTTCGACGAATTTCGACGGTCTTGGGCTTCCCTCGTTCTTTGGTTTGCTGAGTGAGAGGAAATCCATTCCCTCAAATCGTTCCTCAGACCAAGGTAAACCGACCTAATGATCTGCAGCAGTTCCAGACGCTAATTTCACGGAATGAACGCTTTCGGTAAATCTTCCTTTTGATTGTTCTCGTCGAAGCTATCTGGGCTTCCCCAGGACTTTCTGAAATTTATTGCAGCTCTCCTGTTGTAGATATTTGTCGCAATGGATAGATATCAGAATATACAAAATAAGTGCTGGAAGGCGAGATGAGTCTTTCCTTTATGACCCTCGCGAGGGAGAGGAGTCTTCCAAAGGCTTTCCGTCGTTTTTGATATTCTATAGGCCACGGAATCTTCATAAAATAAACCAAAAACTATGAAAAATATATGATTCAATTGACTATTAAGGTCGTTATAATTTAAAGTCATTAAATAAAAACTATTCATGAACTTGCTATGGAATTATCAACAATCATTTAATGAAAAAGTTGGGGCTCCTTTGTCCGCCTGCTCGTCGCCTTGTATGCCTTGGCCTTCATGTCCTAGGACACACGCTAAGATCATCTTGTTTTGTGCTCCTAGCCTTTCCAACTCCTTCAGGATTTCCCAGACCAGTCCTGAGTCCGCGCTGCATTTTAGGAGTGCTTTAATGGCAGCTTGACTGTCTGATAAAATATGTATGTACTTGTTCATCGTCTGCCGATGTGCCAGCAGCTCTGCGCATTTCTCGATGGCCAGCAGCTCTGCGCATTTCTCGATGGCCAGCACTTCTGTTTGGAACACTGTAGCTTTGGTTCCAAGAGACCAGCTATTTCCATAGTGCTCCGTCGATCCTTCCATTTCAAGAAATATTCCCTTCGACTTTTGCAACCAGGTGGTGCACAGGGTGGTGTGCATCTGTGCACCTTTCCTCTCTATAGGTATAGAGCGATAAGGTACAGTGGTCCGTCTTATTAGCTTTTTATGTGGCTGCCCATCAGTCTTTCTTGAAAATGAAAGAGGCTGGAGGTTATGATTCTGAAGTCTCTTTTCCCATTCTTCTCTGACCATTTTTCCCAGGCTTGGATAGAAATACCGATGTTTTATTCCCCCCAATCATGCGGTACGGTTCTCAGGGTCCAACGCTGGCTGTAAGGATCTTTGTAATTGGTCCCAAGATGATGCCTATTCCCTTCTGCGAAAGCACCGGGGATATGCCGTTTGGACTTGGCACCTTTCAAAGTTCAAAAGAATTTATTGCCCATTCTACCCCTTGTAGGTACACGATTTTGGCTGCTAGAGCTCAGTGTCGAAGTTTATATTGCTGTCCCGTTATGTCGGGAGCTTATTGCATAACATCCTATCTAACGAAGCCAGAGAAGTGTTTACTCAGCAGTAGTTCCAATGTCCCCTCCGAGGTCTAGGTATAACTGCCATCCGGTTTGATAGAACACCCCACATTGACACCTCCCCTTCCTCCTAAGGCTTTCACTAGTCTAGAGGCCTCGGACAGACTCCCGATGGTAATGCTGAACTTTTTGACTCTTGCGTTCCTCCAGCACTTTCCTCTGGTATGTTTTATCACGGGATTTTTAACCTTGTTTCATCTCTTCCTCAGTTGGTTCCTCCGGCTTGCTAGCGTAGCTTCCAACTAGGCTCAGATGTATCTGACAATGGTCTGAGTCCGAGGATTCCTCCGAGACCCTCCCATCCCCTACCATGACCAAAAACAGGGAAAACGAAGCCCCAGTCATATGTACAACAAAAACAATACGCTAATTTTGTCTCTTAAATTCTACATTCTGGAAAATCTATACGAAATAGAACAAGAGATCGAAATCGAATTGCAGATTTACTTTTTGATTAGAAGTAATAATTTTCGATGACAATAAGAATTAAATTCCCGCCGAAAATATCAATTACTATTTCTTTCTGTTATAGGATTGAACGGTCACGAGCATTAATACCTCAGCTATTGAAGCACTGTGAGGAGGACACAATACCTGAGAAGATAGTGTTTGAGCTTTATGATAACTTATTCACTGTCAAAAACCTGAGTCTTGTGCATATCGTGTGTCATGCCAAGGGCGCACATAAGTGAAGGCTTCCCTGCAATGTTTACAATGGAGTAAAATGCATATAATAAAGTCTACGGTTAAAGTATCAAAAACTTTATTTTCAACTTAGTCATTGTGCTTCGAAAATGCAGAACTCACAGCTAGTCAAAGACGACCCATAGTGACCACTGGATAGTTGGAGTTTTTTTCCACATTGTTGACTATCGGATAATGTAGAGAAAGTGCATCAGTCAACAATCCCTCTAACTCCATGTATAAGTAGCAATTCCAGAATTAATTTCTACTGATATCTTTGTCGTAGGGCTCGTGTAATTTTGCAAGGGGTAGACATCCAGGTAAGAATCAACGACGAGAATAGGGCTCATTATGTCCTGAAAGAGGGCTTGGAAATGGTCACTCAGGGTTGGAGTTCAGCCTTGGATCAAGCCTCATTGAGCCTCGAGATGATACCCTCGTTTCAGGCTGGGTGTCAAGACCTGAGTAAGCCCTCGAAAAAAGGTTGATGGAGACCTCAATTAATGAAAGTTTTTTTTATTACTAAGTTCTTTCGTCGTTTCGATTTAAACGTGTTTTTTTATATTCTTTTTTATATTTAATTATTACACTGCGATTGTTGATAATAAAAACTAAACGAAAAAAATTGCTATCGCCCGGTATCGATCCATGACACACGAGGTCATTTGGACAGCCATTGGAGTATGAGATTTCGTTCTGGTGCACCAGAAACTGGAAGTGTAGGAATTTGTATTTTTATTTGCACAGTCAAGAACCATATATATATATGATATCCTAATGGATAAATAGAGTAAAAAACAATTCTATTTTTTGGTCGAGAGATATGGGGAAAAGGTGAGGCCTCGGAAGACGGAAAAAGCCCTCTTTTTGAAACTTATACTCCCAAAACGTGGTCTTAGCCTCTTGATCGTCAGCCTGACCCAGGGCTGAAGTGAGTCTCGCGAATAGCCTCATAAACTATCTTTAAATCAGGCCTTCAAGAACGATGAAATCAGGCTTGGGTCGGGCCTGAGTCATTCAGCCTCAGTGAGCTAAGGCTTTCCCAGGCCTGCTCTCATCGTCAGCCTTTGGAATTCCTACTTGGGTAAGTGGATCAACTAATATATGGAAAAAATTTCACAAAATTGGCTACTTTTTTTCATGCAGAGTTCACGCCATAATATTCCTAAGTATGGGTCAGTAAATTATCCAAAAAAATTTGAGGGGCGCTGTTTCGACCTAGTTACAAGTTAGGCCACCAGAAATTTTGATTTTCTACCGTACCTTCCTTGTTGATGTTCAGGAAGACTTCAGAACAATTTTGGACCATGTGGAAGCACTCTGGTCAATGTCTAGTATAAATCCACCATAAATATCCATCTAAGAGATTTCTATTTCCGAACACACTTCAAGGAGAACCTGTACGCCTCTCCGGCCCATCTGTTATAAGGGACGGACCTACGAATCCCCGCTGAGTTCTTCGTCTCTGACAAGTTACCAACAGACCGGAACTTCTTCCCGGAGAAGTTCAGAACTCACATGAGACGAGTCAGACCTACCACTACTGTTCATCATACCAAGGCACGTTTCTTCATCTTGAAAGATCTGTATAAAACCAGTCATGTCTTTGCCAGAGTCGATGCTCTAAAAAAACCACTCGATCTTCCCTATACTGGAGCTCATGGTAGTGAACAGCGGTGATGACAGGGTTCTCGTCTTCAAGGTCAACAGAGTCAACGAGGTCATCTCCGTTGGCAAACTAAAGCGTTTTTCGCGTTTTTCGGGAAAGCAGACGCCGACCAACCATCCGAGGAAGGAAACAGCAGCAGCTGCAATGCCGCCGGATACGTCATCCTAGTCTACTGATCGTACCTGAGGAACATCGTTCCCTACATATCGATTCCTGACTGAAGACCTATGCCAAAGGAAGTTTCGTTTCCCTCTCTCTTGGGTCCAGGTGACTGGGAGAATTGGATGTGGTCGCTCAACCCACATCAGTTCGTAGGTTTACTGATAGAGCCAAACACCAGTGTCAACGGTTCAACTGACGCAATGAACATCATGGATATATTGATCTCTTTGTCTCTCGCTCTTCATCTTTTTCTTTCATCACATATTTATTTTTATTATTAGGAGTGCAATGCCTGAGCACATCACGAACATTGCTTAAGCGTGACAGCTCTGTTTTATCTATCTGGCGCAGTCACGTTTTATCGATCTGACGTGGTACTCTATTCTGTGCAACTCTTGTCATGTCAATAATCTTTAACATCGATCTAGTGATTACGGAATCAGTATGGAGAAAGAGATCCAACGTTGAGTAGTTTGTATTACGCGAGAATTCTTCCAGAAGTTTCAATTCTGTTGTGCTGTCATAAGAAGAAAGGAAACGTTGCAGATAGTGACATACTCGTGGGGAAGACTCTGCAAGCCGCTCGAATGGAAGCTTCAATTATCAAGAGGAGTAATATACCATTGGTTGCACCAATTTTTCCACCGATTGTTCAGTATTTTAGAACTCAGAGTGAGTTATACCTGATAATTGATGTGAGGAACTGGGTGTTTCTGAAACAGAATTCATCCTGATTTTTATCACCTCACAATAATTTTTCAATAGGAAAGTTTGAAGGCTGAAATATTTGAAAAATCACAGTTCCCGACCCCGACACCAAAAAGTAAAACGTTTGGGTGTTATCATCACGTTAATACATGAAATTATGCTGATTAACAATTTTTCTCACAGTTTGAGATGATAATAGTCACCAATTTCGATTATTACAATTTCAGTATCATAATTGGGGATTAGATAAATTATCAGCATTGAAAGTGGGTTGTGTTGCCTCTGTCGACGCTCGAGTTTTATGTTTTACCGGCAACCCTTTCGGTTACTACCGGCGCATTTGTTTAGGTTTCCTCTCGAGGGATTCCCCCCTTTCAGTCGCTGAGCATTTCGTTGTACTTTTTCTTGATGTTCTAGTGGGCACGCTCGTTCGGGCGGTAATAGTAGATTCCCTTACTGAAATAATTCCACTCGGCAACTTGGTAGCTGTTTTACCGATGAGCTTTAAATTCTAACTTGGATATTTCGTGACTAATTTTGACTTTCTCATTTAAATTATAATTTAACAATTGATTAGAGAATTTGTTTAATTAAAAATATTTGTTTGTCATTTAGTATAATTAATTTATGTTGTAATATAAGTGAGAAGAGTGTGATAATTTAGAGAGAGTAAGAGAGAGATATCGTAATAATTTTATTTATTTTTTGTAACACTTGCGGTGGATCGGGCGAGTTGCTTTTATTTTATATGATAACTGAGAAGAATCGACCTGGTAACCGCAAAATAACATTTTTATGTAGTGGATACTTGACCTTTCAAGTGCTTGGCACATCTACACTTGTTCAGTCTTCAGGATGTAATGACTAATCAGAGAGAATATTAATTTAGAAAGAGAAACGAAATTTAATAACGCTCGCCTCAAAACATAAACAAATGCCAAAATAACAAGATTTTACTTACAACTGATAATACTCCTTGATAATTGACCATTGATTTATTACTGACATTTCTATGCACAAAACTCCACTTAGGAAGAACGGGACCGAGTTATTTTGCACGTTATTTGCTGGATGCAAGAGAAGTTTATTTACGTGGAATTTATCACTATAAAATTGTACGTAATTGTGATCAATGATACCCATTATACTCAAATTCACGATAAGCGCCGGGCAAAGCGAATGTAACTGATTCCCCAATCAAATATCAACCAATCTTCCGGAACCGATATCGGCTTGAGTTCGGTCGATGTGCATGAGCTGACCTGCTGATTTTTTTTTTAATATTTCAAAATGCTTATTTACGTTAATTCATTCCGTGGATGAAGCACATGGGGAATTGTAAAAACGATGCGATGTGAATGCTCCATTTCGATTAAAATGATTAAGAAATAATTATGGAAATTCCCAAACACAACACACTGAACAATATTAAATATGGGTTTACCTTGCCATTTTAGATTCATACAAACATTCAAAAACATTAAATAAACATTAAATTATTTTATTATTTTTTGAAAATTGAATTTCAGCGTAATTAAATTTGGTTAACTCAAGTCAATTACTTACTTATATACATTGAAAAGAGTTTTCCATTCTTTTCGTAGTAAGACTGATGTCAGAAAATCGGTAGAAAAAATGTTACGAAGTCAAACTTTCCTCAAGGAGTAAAAAAGGTACCTACCAAAGTGCGTTGAAAGAAATCGTTCCAACGTATATAGTCACCTTCAATACGGTCATAAACACGATGCTTACCTCACAGAAAATCCCCATCTCTGGCGTTAGTTCACATTGCACAAAGGCAGACAGCGCGAACACGTTGGTAAACTTAGTTAACGATAGACTAATTCCCAATTGGGCGCCTACGTTTGAGTCCACTGAAGGGAAAGTTATCGAGTCGGTGGTGAGTGAGAGTGTATAACCTCTCTCCCTTTCTTCCAACATTCTCTTGTTATATCCACCCTTCCTCTCGTCGCCCTTCCTCGACGCCACTGAAACATGAGGATGAACTGGAAGAATCTCTGAAAGCTCCCAGTTAGTTCACACCGTCTTGTTAGTTTCCTGTTCCCCTACACCGTACAGCCTTCCTATGCCGTTCCTCTTTCAGTCGGTTTTGGCAATGCCAGCTCTTAGAAGTTCAATTTTGGTAAGTCGACAAGTTCTGCAGTTTGGATAACCAATGCATGACGTTTCCAAGAACGAAGTTCTTTTTTATTTGTAAAAAGCATTGTAATTGTTGAAATCAAATTTTCACTATATTTCGACGATGCAAGATCTTCTTAATACTTTTCGAATTTTTTAAAATCGATGCAGGTATCTGTGTGACCGAAATGTCTGTTAACGATCGTTCCTGAACTAATCATGTCAGCGAGATTATTGGTGATGCAGTCGATGGGTCCTGATCTAACTCGGAACAAACCAGATTTCGGAAGTAATTGGTTTAGCCGCTTTCCAGTGTTTCAAGTAAAATACTATTAAAAAATCGTGATTCTTTTGTCACATCACATTTGTCAGATTCTCATTATCGATATCCATTCAACTCAGATGTCAGCTTCACGGTGCCCTTTTCAACAATCTCCGTTGACACATCGCTGGGTTGATTCAATTTTCTAGACTTCTGTTTATTGAATTCTATGAAATTTTCTTCAGTCTTGCATAGATGTTAGATGCAGCCACTGTCCAAGCACCAAACCCTCCTATTAACGAACGAAACTCGTCTTCATGTTGTTTCCTCTGTCGATTCTTCACTTCTGACATAAAAACTCTCAATTTCGGCATTATTTGCTTTATCCGAATCTTTCTCCTTCCTCGGACAATTGACAGATATGTATCCCTTCTTGTGACGACGTTGGTATTTGCAATAGAAACTTCATCTTCTCTCCTCAATTTTTATTCTTCCCGTAGCATTTCTTCTTCGCTAGCATAGAGTTTTGAGTTGCACTTTGAGACTCATTTCTTCTCATCATTGATTGCCCTGATTTTTCCCTGTAAATCCTCTGGTTTAGGTAATGTATCTAGAGATTCTATCGCCGAAGGAAATATTTCGTAACTTTACGGAAGAATTTTTTAATAACATTATTACCAAGAATTTTTTATTCACCTCGATTTCAATCTCCTGTAATTTATCCACGATATCAAAAGAATGGTTTACGTGATTTCGGACATCCTTCCGTTCTTTCAATTTTATTACTGTGAGCGTTTTCAATAACTAGGTATAATCACGCGCGTTCCGCGCGTCTATTTTATACTCTGGGGTGAAAGAAAAAGAAGTATGAAAATAATTCAAGAAAATAATGTGTAAGTTCTTGGACTTAAAATAGGACTAAATTGAAGCCTCATTATATTTTCAACAAAATCATTTCCATCATTTCTGAAAGGAAAGTGACAAAAGAAATTTATAGTTTTTAATTTTACGGGTTGAGCCTATCCTAGACGGGATTGAACTATCGGAAGGCCCTATCTATACGAATCTGTAAACCGTTACAAATAGTTCCGAATTCCATTAACATATTCGATTCTTGTAAATGATCACAGTAATAATCCGTATCTTGCAATAAATTAAATCATATTGGCTTATTCATACGAGGCAATTGATTCCCAATAATTTACGATCAAGAATACCAGTGATTTACTACGCCTTTTCTACGCCTTATGCACTAAAGCGGACAAAGTATCATTTAACACACTCCTATGTTCCAGTATAGGAAGATTCTTGACGAATGACCCTTCTAAATGGTATGTCTGACAGATTTACATATCCTCTGCATAACTAACTTGTCCAATTTCAACTGACAATGGATGGATGTGCAGTGGAGGTTTCTCAACCAAAAAAATCAGTATAGAATGCCTACCCATACCTCTATCCCTTCTAAGAGAAAAACTCCGAAGCATGCGATTCTCCGGAAGATTTTGTTCTGGGGATGCTGTGACGCTTGAGTTGCCAGGGGTGCCTTGTTGTCGCCTGTAGTTACCACGGAAATAAAAGATGAAGAACAATGGAATGAGAAACGAGGGAGAGAGTAGATAAAATTCAGAGAACAAAGTAGTATGGAATAGCAGGATGGGGTAAATGCGATGTGAGCTGAAGGCAGGAAGGAGAAATGTACTGGAGAAAATGAAGGAGAAGAGAGAACAGGTTGCCACATAAAATTTCATCAAACGATTTGTTTTCGAATTAAAAATTCACAAAAAAAAATTTTTAAGAAAATGAAATAACGGAAGAAAATGCTTAACATTTTTTTTTCAATTTCACGGAAAATTCTATTTTGGATAAGAATTAGATAAAATAAGCGTGGAAGTGCTCTTTTATTGCATATCATATAGTTATCTTTGTTAATGAATTAGTAATATGGTTCGGAATGGTTATTTTCCGCATTATCTTTCTCTTTTATAAATAAGATTTCATTTCTATTTCATTAAATTCAATGATTCGGTAACGGTGTACTTCTATGATCCAAAATTCAATTTAATGATGTTCAAATAGATTTTTTCAGCCACAATTATATTCATTTCCTAACTGATATATGCAGATATCGTCGAGATTTTATGGGAAAAGAAATGGCATTTCACAGAAATTTAAGAACTATTATTGCTGTCACCTTTATCTTCGAACTCGGTTAAAAAGACATCGGGACAAATTCTTCCAGCCGTCATTTAATTGATATGGATGATTGTTTTTGTATTTATGGTAAAAAAAAAAAATTTGAAAAAATTTAAAAAATGGATGGATAAAATCTATTTTTGTTGGCCCAATGAGACCTACATCTGAGAAAAAAAAATGCAATTAGGTAGAAATGAGGGTGAGCCATTATAGAAAACCAATGGGGGAAAAATACCACATACACATACACAAACTGGATTTTCGAACTTCTTGGATTATACTGAATTGATATATGACAAAAATGAGAAACTTAACTTTGGTCGTTTACAAAAATTCCAATCGGAAGCAAAAATATTTAATCATTTATTTATTTAATGTATTGCCCTCGACGGATTTCCATATGGAAAGAGGGGTATAAACTTACCAATACATGGTACGCGGTTCATGATTTTAGATAGAGAACAGCGTATATATGAGTATTCTGAGTGAACCCAACGAAATTTAAACCCTTATTCCCTTCGATTGTATCGCCGATTTTTTTCCATATTATACACATCATTTGATGACTATTCATTTTTTTTTCTTAGATTTTTTGACGATACCAGGAACTCGTTAGGAGTTTTTTTATTTGTTCCTCTTTGAAGAGCGTAACTCCCGTAAATATTAACCGATAGAGAAATGAGGTTATGTCAATAATTTCGGCACAAAATTCAACGTTGAAGTCAATGAGGAGGACTTCGATAAGACAATATTATCATTCAAGGAGGCACTGGATGATGATCCATAATCGCCAGAAAATTATTATTAAAGTCGGAAAAAGCGTCATTTTTTACTCATTTATGGCGAAATCTCATGGAACGTGATATACAAAAAATTTATACCCATGTTAATTGGATGAGCGATAAAAAAAAATGAAAATTTTGCAAAAAAACATTTCTAACTCGGTTGATATTTACGGGAGTTATGCTCCTAAAAGGTGAAACAATGAAAAAAATCGTAGCGGATTCCAAGTATCATCAAAAAATCTTAAAAAAATTGAATAGTCAGGTAAAGATGTTTACGATATGGGGAAATTCGGCGATACAATCGAAGAGGGGAAGGATTTGAACCTCATTGAGTTCACTCAGAATACTCCATATAGTATTTTTAGAACTGTTGGAAACATAAAAGAAAAAAAGTGTCGTACCAGAATCCCCAATAGCCGAGTCTCCACCGTTTTTCTCGTAATTAGCTATATTGAATAGCCCTTATGGAGCTAAAATTGGGATAAATATAACTGAAAAACTGAAACAATATCCATTTAACGGCGTTATTCATCACGATAAGATAAACAATGAGTTGAAGATGAGCAGAGAACTGAAGGAGAGTCTTGAAAATATTGGCAGAGACTGGTTCATTGCTAGGAAAATGCAATAACCAAAAAAGAAAAATAAGAACTACTTCGGGAGGTGTCTATAGTGGTTCCCCTGTTTACTCAGGCTTCGTTGATTAAATAAAACAATGCTTTGATCAGTGGGTGGAGGTGGTGAATGGAGTTGGTGCAAAGGATAAGAAATTTAAATCTATGACAGAAGCATTTGGAGATCAACAGTAGTGATAACAGACAAAAATAAATTAATTATAGAGAAAAACAAAAAAAATACTTTCAATTAAATGCAATTAAACAATTCCAAATTTTTGTGTCACCCAAGCACTGAATGGTAGAATTAAAGTTGGAGAGTGTTCTATTTTAAGACAGATTGGCACTAACCATGCCACAGGGGTTGTGATATTGGCTCGGTCCTGTAAAATGATAACAATCTACCATCCAACCAATGGTGTTAGAATATTAGTGAATGAGGTGGGGGAATCGATTTATAGTTTTTCAAAATGATTTGTCAGGGGAGAATCATCTCCTCAGTTTGTAATAAATAATTCTGACGAATATCTCCCCCGAGATTCCCTCGAGATTCCGTTCAAAAGATATTTATTAGCAAATGTTTTTTGTGAAGAATTTTATGCGGACATGGAGAGAACGAGAGAAAAGACAGCAGCTTGTGGCTCCTCATGGTGGAGGGTGCTGGTACCTTGAGCACTTTAGGCTTTGGTGTATAGCGAGTGCGCGTCATCCCAACCGTCCGACGCCCGACGATACCGATAAAATACGCCAAGGCAGCCCTTTATTTCTCCTCAGTCCGGCCGGGACCCTCGCAGTGAGACGTCGCCTTTACATTATTGCACCTATTTAACAAAATCGTATTCACACAGTGTTTCTTGAGTGATATCAAGGATTTTGACAGATTACTTGTCAACTATTCTTAAGGAATTTGAGAGATGTTAGTGTTCATAAAGTGATCAACTTGAATATTTTAGTGGATGTATATTTTTTTATTTTAGTGTCATTATTGCAGTGTCTAATTTTTCTTTTTCTGTAAGAGTTTCGGGAAATCAATAGTATCTAAAATTTTGGAATGGCTCACACAGGGTCGGTGGAGGATGTTGAACGGGTTCAAGGGGTAGTGGAGAGTGGCGACAAATCAATTGTGGAGTCTACGAATTTCATTGAATTTTTGTGATGTGATTATCGCCGATTCAGCGATTCTTTGGAATAATTGGTTTCATTTCTGTGAAAGTGATTTTGACAGTGTAATGTGGATTCATTTGACATATTGGAGTGAGGATTAATTGGTGTGATTGTATGTCCTTATTCTTGCAGATTATTCTTATTATAGTTGATGAATTGTACTTTAATCAAAGTGGAGTTAATAGTTAATGAGCATTCTAAACTAACCGTCAATCCGTGGGCTGACTGACATTGAAGGAGCTCAAGGAAGGTAAACTGTCATGGGTTATTTGAGATGAATGTGTGTCCGCGATGTATACATATGGGTATAAATCAATAAGAACTTTCTTCTTTATAAGTTGAGTGAATTGAGTGAGAGGGATCATACTGAATTACATGATCAAAGTAAACTAAAATGCAAACAATGAGAAAGAATAAAAAGGAAATGAATGGAAAAGAGGGAGTTGTAGCATCCAGCCTGAGTATAGATGTTTCTAGGTACCCGCGCGGAGCTGTAGTCCCATCTTCGTCTTCAAATTTGGTCAGCTTGTATTAAACGTGCAGAGTGGGGTATAAAGGTTTTTCAGTCACAAAGGATTTAGAGGCTGGTGCAGTTTCCATTGTAAATCGCTCCACTGGGTTTATTTGGCACTCGACGATAGGATATTCATTTGGACAATTCTAACGATTGAGTATTGAAATTTTTGAGATGCTACACTTGCGGTTTTATAGTTGTTCATAATTATTTTAAAGGGAATTCGCCTGAAGTTTGAATCTCCACTTCGACGTAAATTTAGTGTACAACGTTTTAGTATTTCCTCGCATGCAAATTTAAAAAGGAAATCCCATAAGAATGATAAAAATTATGCTCTGGATGGATGTTTTTGCGAATATTATTCGGATTTTCATGCTAGGACAATAATCTATCCATCAGACTCATGAGCATATATTGAAATTCACAATGATAAAGTCCTCATAACGCAAAAATGAAAAGGATATAGAGGCAAGGATATAAAATAATTATCAATACTGTGTTGCAATAAACGTCATGCTCTTACGGTGTACTCCGTAAAAACCTAACCTAACATCCTTAGACGAACCTAACTTCATTGACCGGATATTAAATGTCGCATTTTACCTTCTTCCTTATTTTTGAATTGTTTATGATGCTTACCAAACTTTTTGTTTGAAAAGAGATTCTTAATGAGACTTGCGACTTTGAGATTCTCCACAATTTTACAGAATGATTCTCAGATTAGTCTACAAACCCGAATGTTCAGAATTTGTCTTTCAAACCCTTTCCTTACATACCGATCAATAAATGATTACAGAATCTAAATAGATTTGATTCAAGGCCGTTCTAAATATTATTAATGATTTTTTTATCCCTTTTTTCACCGATTCGGGGGCAGTATTAGTGGTCACGTGATCCGTCTATGATGGTGCTGTTGCCGGTAGACAAATTATCAGAACAATGTTACACTCTATGCTTGGCTCAATATCTAATTTACACGAAAGGCCAATGTAACAGTCTCCTTTTTATTCTTAATTTAAATATATGAATTAACTATGAAAATGTACGAAAGCTTTGAAATTTCGGTTGCACCTACTATGTATGCATTTTTTAAATTTCCCGCCTGCGAACTTGATCAATATCTGGGACTCATAAAATTCACTGTCATTCGATAAGAAAATCGGATTGTTGATGTTAAGTCGAACCATAGGAGTGGAGATTTTTAATCACATCGCATTACATACTAAACCGGGTAAGGTAATATAAATATGTGAGTCAAGTAAATAAATAAGATAGGAGAAAATATAGTCTCACTTAATCATGAGATCTCTATTTCATGCACAACAGTAGTGTCCAATTCGTTTCTTATAGCAAAATATTTCTGAAATAATCCAATCAAATCTTTTCCTTATGTATCAGTTCCTTGCATCGAATTTTTAATGAATAAATCAATCTGTGTACTGCAGTTTCGATCATCTACGGACTTTTCTCAATTCTCCAACCTCAAAAACTCCTTTATATGATGAATGACTTGAAGAAAATTCAGTACCAAAAATGCCCCCGAATGATTAGTTCTAATGAGATGGCATAATATATTCAATTATTTTTTTTTAATGATCCTACTTTGAAAACGTGTTTATTTTTTGTACTTTCCATCAGGAATCAATAGATTCAATAGACTAATAAATAAATAGTGGGTCCGGGGGGATGCATTAAATAAACAAATCAAAATCGTTCATCTTTATGGAAGTAACAGGCATTTAACTATAAAATTTTAAAAATAAACATGGCGGATCAGAGATTGAGTTCAAAAATGGGAAAAAATTTGAGAAGCCATTTCAATCCATTCAGAACTACAGAACAAATGGACCATATGATCGATGTTGGCGAGGGCTTTTACCACCTTGAGTTCACATGGAGTTGCGCATCTGTAGATATTTTTGCTTCGGAATAATCGATAATTTGCACAATCATTAAATTCTACTTGGAAATGATATGTGTTCTGCTTTGGATTCTGCTTTGGAAATCATCAGTGGATTGGAGATCAAATTTCAAATTGGCCATTTTGTGAAAAGATTAAGTCAAGAGACTGGTTTGTTGCAAAAACAAAAAAAAACAAAAAACAAAGTTCAGATTCAATGAAATCAGTTAGTGCGCTACGATTTTGTAAAAATTTACATTTTTCATCATTTTTGAATATTATTATCAATATTCTAGTTATCGATCGAGCTATTAAATTTCTTTCCATTACATCTTTAGGTAGTAAAATGAAGCATCACTTATTGCATCCCCAAACGTCTTGATAAAAATCGGAATTGTGGTGCGCTAATAAAATATACCAAGATGTGAAAATTAAAAAAGTGGAAAGCAAAAATTCGAACTGAAAAAACTATACACTTAAGGTTGTTGTCGCGCGACAGTCCCTGTAAAAAGTTTATCCGCTGTAAAACGGGCCAGTTTAGAACACAATCTTTTAGCGGTATATAGTCTCACTTGATTGATTGCATTGTGCATGGATAGCTACAGCATAACTATATATTTTCCATATTAACTATTTTCAATTATATAAATTTATGAATTTCCGATAATTATATTCCGTAAACCAAACGGTCAATCGATTTGATTTTTTTTTCTGTATTTCCTCCCACGATGTATATTCCACGTTTTTTTTTATTTCTGAAACTGTCGAGCTGTTGGTTTTTAAAAAATTCTAATCGGCAAAACTCCATTTAAACACGTGTTAAATCACTCGAATTTCAAAAATTTATATCTCAAGTTCAAAACGGTCAATTGCAAACGGAAAAGGCTCATTTTGTTGCTAATTTTTCAAACTATTCACCATAAAATTTTTAACGAAAACTGTCAAAAAAAATTCTACGCGACAACAACCTTAAGAAAAACAGAAAAGAAATGGCATGGAATTATTAATTCTCCCGATTCATTCAGTGAACTAACGAACAATGTAATCGGTAGGCATATGAATGAGAATAAAAGTAAGAGAAAAAAATATAAATATAGTTATTGTTTCGTATCTGTTACGACTGTGGCAGAAAACATAATATTAAATAATTCCTATCAAGACACGAAAATTTCGATGCCTGTGTTATCGGGAAATTCAGTCTGTAGTTTTAAGGTTGTTTCGCGTGTATTGACGAAGATACAAAAATTGCTTGAAATTTTGACATGTTTTTGAAGCGATAACAGATGCCTCAATAAAATTTGGGACTGATTTACAACACCGTTTTGTGGTTATTAATTATTAAAGTTTTCAATTAACACGGCCTCTTATGGGGAAAATAAAAGATTCTGTGAATATGTTCCAAAATATAACATTTTGCTGAAATTTTGAAAATTTTCTACTGGAGCAGATATAAATCGAGGGTAAAAACTTCATGACGATTGACTACAATTTTTTTTCATTAATTTGTTTGATCAATATAATATTTATTCATAAAGTCAAATACAATATAACAATTTTCTATGGCTATTACTTCAACTAATTAAGGCTTTGAAATATTAATGAAAAATTAATTGCGATAAATATAACAAATTATAAAAAAGGTCACAAACTTTTGTTCCAACTGAAGGAGGGGCCTGAAAAAGAAGAAGGAGAGGGGATTAACTCAAAAGATGATATTTGATGAAATGTCAATCACTAAGATGACACATAAAAATACTAATGAATGTGGCTCACCGCTGGGGGGAAATTATATAAGGGGCGACCTCGTGGCAGGAGGAATAGAACAGGGTACTCATGGGTGATGACGGTCACAAACTTCTTTTTCAAAATCCTTTTCTCAGAGACTTCTAGATTTTCCTGTGGATTCTCCTCTTCTGGACTTCCTTTCTTTCCCTTCCTTCTTCCGTCTATGGTTCCTGGATCCAGGGCACAAAAATTCACACAATATTCTCTCGTAGAATCCTCAGCAACTGTCCTTTAATCTATTCAGAGGTGCTACAAAGTCGATTGATGACCGTCAATCATTCGTGTGCTTTATGCAACGATTTTCAGGTATCTTCGGTGACTAATCGGGGGCCCTCGGGCGGCTGTGGCCTCTTCTTCCGGGCTTTTGAGGTCATCTTCGAATAGTCCAGGAGGGGTCGACACGTTGAACAATGTTCTCTCTCCCTTGTCTATGTTTTCGTACGATCATGTAATGTCCTTTGTGGCTGCTAGGTAAGTGTACTAAAGCAAGGGGGAAAGGGAACGAGGGGTCGAGGGAACGATGTTATGGGAGAATAGGTTGTTTAATGGTGGCGTAATTTGCTCCTACTCAGAGGTAATAAATATAAATTAGGGAAAATAGAAAATGAATTAAGCGACAGGGGAGATAGCAAAAATCGGCTTCGTCACAACGTCTTCTTGCATAACCTTCCCAAGATTGCTTGCTTCATCATTGATTTAATTTCGCTGACACGTTAAACGTTCTTTTATTTTTTTAATTTTTGTTTTTTTTATGGCGGAATTTTTAGTAAAGAAAAAAATATAACAAACATTTGTTGAGTATGACCCGATTCCTATTTGATGATATGATGTAATATAAAAATAAAAATATTATATCTTCATCCTTTTTCAGTATTTTTATTTATTCTAAAATTATAGGCACGCAAAAGCGCTATTTCTTGAAGAAGACAAGCAGAGGTTGTGAGCATGTGGTAGCGAACACGTGCCAGTGAGCATATCCTTGGGTGACTTTTTCAATCCTTCATGGCCATCAATGAATTGATGGTATGTTTTCCACTAGAAAAAATGTTCA